GAATTTTGGGGTTAATTTTGGGGGGATTTTGGGGATTTGGGGTGAAGTTTGGGGTGAATTTTGGGGCGGATTTTGGGGGGATTTTGGGGGGATTTTGGGGGGATTTTGGGGTGGATTTTGGGGGATTTTGGGGGGATTTTGGGGTGGATTTTGGGGGGATTTTGGGGGATTTTGGGGGGATTTTGGGGTGGTTTTGGGGGGATTTTGGGGGGATTTTGGGGGATTTTGGGGTGGATTTTGGAATTTTGGGGGGATTTTGGGGTGGATTTTGGGGTCGTTTATGGGCAGATTTGGGGCGGATTTTGGGGTGGATTTTTGGTGGATTTTGGGGGAATTTTGGGCGGATTTTGGGCGGATTTTGGGGCAGATTTTGGGGCAGACGTGCAGCAGATTTTGGGGGAATATTGGGGCGAATTTGGGTGGATTTTGCAGCAGATTTTGGGAAAATTTTGAGCAGATTTTGCAGGGGATTTTGGGAGGGATTTTTTGGGGATTTTGGGTGGATTTTGGGGCGATTTTGGGGAGTATTTTGGGGCGGATTTGGGGCGGATTTTCAGGTGGATTTTGGGGACGATTTTGGGGGGACTTTGTGTGGATTTCGGAGCGGTGTTTTCGGCGGATTTTTGGGCAGATTTTGGGCAGATTTTGGGTGGATTTTGAGCAGATTTTGGGGGATTTCAGGGCACATTTGGGGCAGATTTTGGGTGGATTTTGAGCGGATTTTGGGGGATTTCAGGGCACATTTGGGGCAGATTTTGGGCAGATTTTGGGTGGATTTTGAGCAGATTTTGGGGGATTTCAGGGCACATTTGGGGCAGATTTTGGGCAGATTTTGGGTGGATTTTGAGCAGATTTTGGGGGATTTCAGGGCACATTTGGGGCAGATTTTGGGGGAAATTTGCGGAATTTTCGGGGGTATTTTGTGGGTATTTGGTGGCAGATTCTGTTGTAGATTTGGGCAAATTTCGGGGTGGATTTTGGGGGAATTTTGTGGGATTTGGGGCAGATTTTGGGGGTATTTTGGGCGTATTTTGGGGTGGATTTGGGGGGAATTTTGTGGGGATTTGGGGCAGGTTTTGGGGGTATTTTGGGCGTATTTTGGGGTGATTTGGGGGGAATTTTGTGGGGATTTGGGGGCGGATTCTGTTGCGGATTTTTGGGCAGATTTTGCGGGGGATATTTGGGGGATTTTTGAGCGAATTTTTGGGGTATTTTGTGGGGATTTGGGTGGATTTGGAGCGGATTTTGGGGTGGATTTTCAGCGGCGTTTGGGGGATTTTTGGGCAGATTTTTGGGGGAATTGTGGGGGAATTTTTGGGGTATTTTGTGGGTATTTGTTGGCAGATTTTGGGGGTATTTGGGGTTGGATTTGGGTGCGGATTTTGGGCAGATTTTGAGCAGATTTTGCCGGAATTTTGGGGTGAATTTTGGGGAATTTTGGGGCGGATTCTGGGGGTTTTTTGTGGGGTATTTGGGGGCGAATTTTGGGGGTATTTTAGGGGGATATTGGGGGGATTTTGGGCAGATTTTTGGGTGGACTTTGGGGGAATTTTGCTGTAATTTTGGGGGTATTTTGTGGGTATTGGGGGTGGATTCTGTCACGGGTTTGGGGGTATTTCAGGGTGGTTTTTGGGGGTATTTTTTGGGTATTTGGGGGCGGATTTTGGGCAGATTTTGGGGGAATTTTGCGGAATTTTTGGGGGGTATTTTGGTGGGTATTTGGGGGCGGATTTTGCGGGAATTTTAGGGGGATTTTGGGCGGATTTTGAGCTGATTTTGTGGGAATTTTGGGGGTATTTTGTGGATATTTGGGAGTGGATTCTGTTGCGGATTTTTGGGCAGATGTTGGGGGGATTTTGAGCGAATTTTTGGGGAAGTTTTGGGGGTATTTTGTGGGCATTTTGGGGCGGATTTTTGGGCAGGTTTTGGGGGTACTTTGTGGGTATTTTTGGGCAGATTTTGGGCAGATTTTGGGGGAATTTTGTGGGTATTTGGGGGTGATTTTGGGGGGATTTTGGGCAAGTTTTTGGGTGGACTTTGGGGGTATTTTATGTGGATTTTGGGGGAATTTTGCTGTAATTTTGGGGGTATTTGTGGGTATTTGGGGGTGGATTCTGTCACGGGTTTGGGGGTATTTCCGGGTGGATTTTGGGGGTATTTTGTGGGCATTTGGGGTCGGATTTTGGTGCGGATTTTGGGCAGATTTGAGCGGATTTTGCTGGAATTTTGGGGGTGGGTTTTGGGGGAATTTTGGGGCGGATTTTGGGGAATTTTTGGGGGGATTTTTTGGGGGTATTTTGTGGGTATTTTGGGGTGGATTTTGTTGCGGATTTTCGGTGGATTTTGGGGGTATTTTGTGGGTATTTGGGGGCAGATTTTGGGGGTATTTTAGGGGGATTTAGGGGGGATTTTTGGGTGGCCTTTGGGGGTATTCGGGGGCAGATTTTTTTGTGCATTTGGAGCGGATTTTGGGGTGGATTTTGAGCGGGGTTTGGGGGATTTTGGGGCGGGTTTTGTGGGCATTTCGGGGCAGATTTTGAGCAGATTTTCGGGGGGATTTTTGGGCGTTTTTGGGGCGCATGTGGTCGCGGGTTTTGGGGGGTTCAGGCGGGTGCCCCCGCAGCCTGGGCGAGGAGTTCTACCGCGAGGCGCTGGAGCACTGCCGCAGCTACAACGCGCGGCTCTGCGCCGAGCGCAGCCTCCGCCTGCCCTTCCTGGACGCGCAGGACCGGCGTGGCGCAGAGCAACTCCTACATCTGGATGGACAGCGCCCACCGGCGCCCCGGTGAGACCCCCGGCAGTGGGGAGGGACCCCCAAAATGGGCAGGGACCCTCGGGACCCCGGGATTGGGGAGGGACCCCAGAGCAACTCCTACCACGAAATACCCGAAAAAATACCCCCAAAAATCCACCCCGAAATACTCCCAAAATCCCCCAAAACTTCCCACAACATTGCGCTCAAAATCACCCCAAAATCTGCCCAAAATCCGCCCAAAAATCTGCAACAGAGTCCACCCCCAAATACCCACAAAATACCCCAAAAATTCCCCAAAATCTGCTCAAAATCTCCCCCAAATCTGCCCAAAATCCTCCCCAAAATCCGCCCAAATCCGCCCCCAAATACCCACAAAACACCCCCCAAAATTCCGGCAAAATTCCCCAAAAATCCGCAACAAACATCTGGATGGACAGCGCCCACCGGCACCCCAGTGAGACCCCCGGGGTGGGCAGGGACCCCCGGGAATGGGCAGGGACCCCCGGGATTGGGGAGAGACCCCCGGGAATGGGGAGGGACCCCCGGGATTGGGGAGGGACCCCCGGGAATGGGGAGGGACCCCCCGGGATTGGGGAGGGACCCTCAGGGTGGGGAGGGACCCCGGGATTGGGGAGGGACCCCCGGGAATGGGCAGGGACCCCCGGGATTGGGGAGGGACCCCCGGGAATGGGCAGGGACCCCCCGGGATTGGGGAGGGACCCCCGGGAATGGGGAGGGACCCCCGGGATTGGGGAGGGACCCTCAGGGTGGGGAGGGACCCCCGGATTGGGGAGGGACCCCCGGGAATGGGCAGGGACCCCCGGGATTGGGGAGGGGACCCTCAGGGTGGGGAGAGACTCCCGGGTTTGAGGAGGGACCCCGGGTTTGAGGAGGGACCCCCGGGAATGGGAAGAGAGCCCCCAGGACCCATTCGGGACCCCTGGGATTGGGGAGAGACCCCCGGAACCCCCACGGGACCCCTGAAATGGGGAGAGACCCCCGGGACCCCCGAGACTGGGGAGGAACCCATGGGGATGGGAGAGAGACCCCTGGGACCCCCGGGAATGGGGAGAGACCCCCTCGGGACCCCCAGAATGGGGAGAGACCCCCGGAATGGGGAGAGACCCCCGGGACCCCTGGGACCCCCTGGAATGGGGAGAGACCCCCGAAATGGGGAGAGACCCCCTCGGAATCCCCAAAATGGGGAGAGACCCCGGAATGGGGAGAGACCCCCGGAATGGGGAGGGAACCCCGGAATGGGGAGGGAACCGCGAAATGGGGAGAGACCCCCTTGGGATGGGAGAGAGACCCCCGAGACCCCTCTGGGACCCCCAGGATTGGGGAGAGACCCCCGGGAATGGGGGAGAGACCCTCGGGACCCCCGACATGGGGAGGGACCCCCGAGAGACCCCCAAAATTGGGAGGGACCCCCGGCAATGGGAAGGGACCCCTCAAAATGGGGAGGGACCCCCAAAATGGGGAGAGACCCCCAGGACTGGTCAGTTTGGGGCCAGGGTCACTCTGTGGTCACTCTGTGGTCACTCTGTGGTCAGTGTGGTCACTCTGGGGGTGCAGTGGTCGCTCTGGGGGTTCAATGGTCACTCTGTGGGTTCAGTGGTCACTCTGTGGTCACTCTGTGGTCAGTTTGGTCACTCTGGGGGTTCAGTGGTCACGCTGGGGGGTGCAGTGGTCACTCTGTGGGTTGAGTGGTCACTCTGTGGTCACTCGCTGTCCATCCCCAGGCCACTGTCCCGGCCAGCTGTACTCGTACCCCGTGGGGTTGGGTCAGGGTCACTCTGTGGTCACTCTGTGGTCAGTGTGGTCACTCTGGGGGTGCAGTGGTCACTCTGTGGTCAGTGTGGTCACTCTGTCCATCCCCAGGCCACTGTCCCGGCCAGCTGTACTCGTACCCCGTGGGGTTGGGTCAGGGTCACTCTGTGGTCAGTGTGGTCACTCTGTGGTCACTCTGTGGTCAGTGTGGTCACTCTGGGGGTGCAGTGGTCACTCTGTGGTCAGTGTGGTCACTCTGTGGTCACTCTGTGGTCAGTGTGGTCACTCTGTCCATCCCCAGGCCACTGTCCAGGCCAGCTGTACTCGTACCCCGTGGGGTTGGGTCAGGGTCACTCTGTGGGTTCAATGGTCACTCTGGGGGTGCAGTGGTCACTCTGTGGTCAGTGTGGTCACTCTGTCCATCCCCAGGCCACTGTCCAGGCCAGCTGTACTCGTACCCCGCCCGGTGCTGGCGCAAGAAGCGGCGCCTGAACATCCTGGAGGCGCCGAGGCTGCGGCCGTGTGAGTGCGGCCGGAGAGCGGGCCGGAGAGGTGGACACGGGGGACACGGGGGGACACGGGGGGACACGGGGGGGACACGGGGGGGACACGGGGGGGACACGGGGGGACAGCGGCCGGAGAGTGGACACGGGGGGACACGGGGGACACGGGGGGACACGGGGGGACACGGGGGGACAGCGGGCCGGAGAGGTGGACACGGGGGGACACGGGGGGACACACGGGGGACACGGGGGGGACACGGGGGGACACGGGGGACACGGGGGGACACGGGGGGACACAGGGGACACGGGGGGGACACGGGGGGACACGGGGGACCGGGGGACACGGGGGGACACAGGGGGACACGGGGGGGACACGGTGGGACACGGGGTGGACACGGGGGGACACGGGGGGGACACGGGGGGGGACAGAGGGTGGACAGTGGCCGGAGAGTGGACACGGGGGGACACGGGGGGGACACGGGGAGGACAGAGGGGCTGGAGTGGTCAGGGGGTGGCTGGAGGGTGGCCGGAGTGGTCAGGACTGGTGGCTGTGATGTGGTCACAGGGGTGGCTGGAGTGTCCAGAGTGTGTCCGGAGTGTCCAGAGCGTGTCCCTAGTGTGTCCATAGCGTGTCCCTAGCGTGTCCGCAGCGTGTCCATAGCGTGTCCATAGCGTGTCCCTAGCGTGTCCATAGCGTGTCCATAGCGTGTCCCTAGCGTGTCCATAGCGTGGTCCATAGCGTGTCCCTAGCGTGTCCCTAGCGTGTCCATAGCGTGTCCATAGCGTGTCCCTAGCGTGTCCCTAGCGTGTCCCTAGCGTGTCCCTAGCGTGTCCCTAGCGTGTCCACAGCGGTGTCCATAGCGTGTCCATAGCGTTGTCCCTAGCGTGTCCGCAGCGTGTCCCTAGCGTGTCCATAGCGTGTCCATAGCGTGTCCCTAGCGTGTCCTTAGCGTGTCCCTAGCGTGTCCTTAGCGTGTCCCTAGCGTGTCCATAGCGTGTCCATAGCGTGTCCGCGTGTCCGCAGCGTGTCCATAGCGTGTCCCTAGCGTGTCCATACCGTGTCCAGAGTGTCCATAGCGTGTCCAGAGTGTCCTTAGCATGTCCCTAGCGTGTCCCTAGCGTGGTCCGCAGCGTGTCCATAGCATGTCCGCAGCGTGTCCCTAGCGGTGTCCATAGCGTGTCCTTAGCGTGTCCATAGCGTGTCCGTAGCATGTCCCTAGCGTGTCTATAGCGTGTCCATAGCGTGTCCCTAGCGTGTCTATAGCGTGTCCATAGCGTGTCCATAGCGTGTCCCTAGCGTGTCCATAGCGTGTCCCTAGCGTGTCCCTAGCGTGTCCTTAGCCCCCTGCCGGCGCTGAGCGCTGTGTCCGTGCCCGCGGTGTCGCAGACCTGGAGGCGCCGCTGCGCCGGGAGGGGGCTCTGCCCGAGGGGCCGGTGCTGGAGGCGCTGCTGAGCGCGGAGACCCCCGAGACCCCCGAGGAGACGCCCGACCCGCCGGTCAGTCTGTCCGCGTGTCCCTCTGTCCGTCCGTCTGTCCATCTGTTCGTGTGTCCATCCGTGTGTCCGTCCGTGTGTCCATCCGTGTGTCCGTCTGTCCGTGTGTCCGTGTGTCCGTGTGTGTGTGTCCATCTGTCCATCCCGTGTGTCCGTGTGTCCATCTGTCCGTGTGTGTGTCCGTGTGTCCATCCGTGTGTCCGTCTGTCCATCCGTGTGTCCATCTGTCCGTGTGTCCATCCGTGTGTCCGTCCATGTGTCCATCCGTGTGTCCATCTGTCCATCCGTGTGTCCATCTGTCCGTGTGTCCGTGCTGAGCGCGGAGACCCCCGAGACCCCCGAGGAGACGCCCGACCCACCGGTCAGTCTGTCCGTCTGTCCGTGGTGTCCATCTGTCCGTGTGTCCATCTGTCCATGTGTCCGTATGTCCGTGTGTGTCCGTCTGTCCATCTGTCCGTCTGTCCGTGTGTCCATCTGTCCATGTGTCCATCTGTCCGTGTGTGTCCGTCTGTCCGTGTGTGTCCGTGTGTCCATCTGTCCGTGTGTCCATCTGTCCGTGTGCCCATCTCTCCATCTGTCCGTGTGTGTCCGTGTGTCCGTGGTGTCCATCTGTCCATCCATGTGTCCATCTGTCCATCCCGTCTGTCCGTGTGTCCATCTGTCCATCCGTGTGTCCATGTGTCCATCCGTGTGTCCGTGTGTCCATCTGTCCGTGTGTGTGTCCATCTGTCCATCCGTGTGTCCATCTGTCCGTGTGTGTCCATGTGTCCATCTGTCCGTGTGTGTCTGTCTGTCCGTGTGTCCGTGTGTCCGTGTGTCCATCTGTCCGTCGTGTGTCCATGTGTCCATCTGTCCGTGTGTGTCCCGTCTGTCCGTGTGTGTCCGTGTGTCCATCTCTCCATCTGTCCGTGTGTGTCCGTCTGTCCGTGTGTCCGTGTGTGTCCGTCTGTCCGTGTGTGTCCGTGTGTGTCCATCTCTCCATCTGTCCGTGTGTGTCCGTCTGTCCGTGTGTCCGTGTGTGTCCGTCTGTCCGTGTGTGTCCGTGTGTGTCCATCTCTCCATCTGTCCGTGTGTGTCCGTCTGTCCGTGTGTCCGTGTGTGTCTGTCTGTCCGTGTGTCCGTGTGTCCATCTCTCCATCTGTCCGTGTGTGTCCGTCTGTCCGTGTGTCCGTGTGTCCATCTGTCCGTGTGTGTCCGTGCGTCCGTCCCGCGCGTCCGGTTCCCCTCGGTTTCCCCTAAATCCCCGATTTCCCCCGGATTTCCCCCCAAAAAAATCCCCAAATTCCCCCCCCAAAATCCCGATTTCCCCCCAAATTGGGAAATTCCCAATTTCCCCCAAAATCCCCAATTTCCCCAATCCCCGATTTTCCCCAAAATCTCAAATCCCTCCAAAACTCCCGATTTTCCCCCATAATCCCAATTTCCCTGAATTCCCCCAAAACCTCCGAAATCCCGATTTCCCCTCAAAATCCCGAATTTCCCCCCAAAATCCCCAATTCCCCCAAATCCCGATTTCCCTGAATTTCCCCAAAATCTCCGAAATCCCGATTTCCCCTCAAAATCCCGAATTTCCCCCCAAAATCCCCAATTCCCCCAAATCCCGATTTCCCCCCAAAAACCCCCCAAATCCCAATTTCCCCCGAATTTCCCCAAAATCTCCAAAATCCCAATTTCCCCCCAAATCCCTGAATTTCCCCCAAAATCCCTCAAATCCTGATTTCCTGAATTTCCCTGAAATCCCCCAAAAATCCCGAATATTCCCCAAACTCCCAAATCCCTCCAAAATCCCTGATTTTCCCCCAAATCCCCCAAATTTCCCCCCAAAATCCCCGTTTTTCCCGATTTCCCGCTTATTTTCCCCGTTTTTCCTGATTTCCCATTTATTTTCCCTGTTTTTCCCGATTTCCCGTTTATTTTCCCAATTTCCCGTTTATTTCCCGTTGATTTTCCCAATTTCCCAGTTTATTTTCCCGATTTCCCGTTTATTTTCCCAATTTCCCGTTTTTTCCCGTTGATTTTCCCAATTTCCCAGTTTATTTTCCCGATTATCCCGTTTATTTTCCCAATTTCCCGTTTTTTCCCGTTGATTTTCCCAATTTCCCGGTTTATTTTCCGATTTCCCGTTTATTTCCCCCGTTTATTTCCCGATGATTTTCCCAATTTCCCAGTTTATTTTCCCGATTTCCCGTTGATTTTCCCGATTTCCCGTTGAGTTTCCCGATTTCCCGTGTTTTTCCCCCAGAAGGCGCCCCCGGCCGAGTTCCCGTTTATTTCCCGTTTTTTCTCCGTTATTTCCCCGTTTTTCCCAATTTCGCGATTTTTCCCCCAGAAGGCGCCCCCGGCCGAGTTCCTGGTTTATTTTCCCGTTTATTTCCCGGTTTATTTTCCTGTTTTTCCCGGTGTTTTTCCCGATTTCGGGTGTTTTCCCCCCCAGAAGGCGCCCCCGGCCGAGTTCCCGTTGATTTTCCCCGATTTCCCTTTGATTTCCCCCGTTTTTCCCAATTTCCCGTTATTTCCCCCCAGAAGCTGCCCCCGGCTGAGTTCCCGGTTGATTTTCCCGTGGTTTTTCCCCGCTTTTCCCCCGTTTTTCCGATTTCGGGTGTTTCTCCCCAGAAGCTGCCCCCGGCCGAGTTCCCGGTTGATTTTCCCGGTTGATTTTCCCCGATTTCGGGTGTTTTTCTCCCCGTTTTTCCCGATTTCCCGCTGTTTCTCCCCAGAAGCTGCCCCCGGCCGAGTTCCCGGTTGATTTTCCCCGATTTCGGGTGTTTTCTCCCCGTTTTTCCCGATTTCCCGCTGTTTCTCCCCAGAAGCTGCCCCCGGCCGAGTTCCCGGTTGATTTTCCCCGGTTGATTTTCCCCGATTTCGGGTGTTTTCTCCCCGTTTTTCCCCGATTTCCCGCTGTTTCTCCCCAGAAGCTGCCCCCGGCCGAGTTCCCGCACGAGCCCGAGGGCCCCGAGGAGGCGGAGGAGGAAACCCCGCGGGGGGCGGGGGCGCCGGAACCGCGCCCGCGGAAAGGTCAGACGGACGGACGGACACGGGGATGGACGGACAGAAGGACGGACACGGGGACAGAGGGACGGACGGACGGACAGGGGGACAGAGGGACGGACGGACACGGGGATGGATGGACAGAAGGATGGACACGGGGACAGACGGACACGGGGACAGAGGGACGGACACGGGGATGGACACGGGGATGGACGGACGGACGGACGGACATGGGGATGGATGGACAGACGGACGGACACGGGGATGGACACACGGACAGACGGACACGGATGGACAGACGGACACGGGGGCACGGGAACGGACACGAGGACAGTGGGATGGATGGATGGACGGACGGACAGACGGACAGATGGACACGGGGATGGACACACGGACAGACGGACACGGACAGACAGACGGACACGGGGGCACGGGGATGGACACGGGGACAGTGGGATGGATGGACGGACGGACGGACGGATGGACAGACGGACACGGGGATGGACAGGGGGACGGACAGGGGGACAGACGGATGGACGGACACACGGAGGGACACGGGAACATGGGGACGGACAGGGGGACACGGGGATGGACGCGGGGACAGGCGGACAGGCGGACAGTCAGACGGACGGACAGCTGGGCAGCAGGATAGCGGGACGGCCGGACGGATGGGACGGACAGACGGGACAGTTGGGCACGCGGACGGACAGACGGACAGACGGACAGCTGGACAGACGGACGGATGGACAGACAGCCGGACGGACAGCTGGACAGCCGGACAGCCAGACGGACGGATGGACAGACGGACAGATGGACAGCCAGCTGGACAGACGGACAGACGGACAGACACACAGACGGACAGCCAGCCAGACGGACAGTTGGGCGCACAGACAGATGGACAGACAGACAGACAGACAGACGGACAGATGGACGGACAGCCAGCCAGACGGACAGTTGGACGCACAGACAGATGGGCAGACAGACAGCCGGACGGACAGCCGGACAGCCGGACAGACGGACAGCCGGACAGCCGGACAGACGGGACGGACGGACGGACGGGACAGACGGCCGGGCAGCCGGGACAGTTGGGCACGCGGACGGACGGACAGCCGGACAGACAGACAGACAGATGGACAGACGGACGGACAGACGGACAGACGGACAGACGGACGGACAGTGGGACGGACGGACAGACGGACAGTGGGACGGACGGACAGACGGATGGACAGACGGACAGATGGACAGCCAGCTGGACAGCCGGACAGACGGACAGACAAACAGACGGACAGCCAGCCAGATGGACAGTTGGACGCACAGACAGATGGGCAGACGGAGGGACCGCTGGACAGCCAGACGGACAGACAGACGGACAGCCGGACAGACGGACGGACAGACGGACAGCCGGACAGACGGACGGACGGGACAGACGGCCGGGCAGCCGGGACAGTTGGGCACGCGGACGGACGGACAGACGGCCGGACAGACGGGACAGTTGGGCACGCGGACGGACGGACAGACGGCCGGACAGACGGACAGACGGACGGACGGACGGACAGACGGACAGACAGACGGACAGATGGACAGACGGACAGACGAACAGACGGACGGACAGTGGGACGGACGGACAGACGGACAGATGGACAGCCAGCTGGACAGCCGCACAGCCGGACAGCCAGCCAGACGGACAGTTGGGTGCACAGACAGATGGACAGACAGACAGACAGGCGGACAGCCGGACAGACGGACAGACGGACAGCCGGCCGGACAGACAGCCGCACAGCTGCACAGCCGTCCGTCCGTCGGTGCGTGCGTCCCGCAGGCGCTGGGGCTGGTGATGAAGAGGAGGGTGCCGGCGGCGGCGGCGGACGCGGCGCTGGAGGAGAGAGACAAACCCTTCGTGTGCGACAGTGAGGCGCCCGCGCGTTCGGGGAGCTTGGGGCATTTGGGGAGATTTGGGGCGATTTGGGGGGATTTGGGGGCATTTGGGGAGATTTGGGGGGATTTGGGGGGATTTGGGGAGGATTTGGGGGGATTTGGGGAGATTTGGGGAGATTTGGGGAGATTTGGGGGGATTTGGGGGGATTTGGGGAGGATTTGGGGGGATTTGGGGAGATTTGGGGAGATTTGGGGAGATTTGGGGGGATTTGGGGGGGATTTGGGGGGATTTGGGGAGGATTTGGGGGGATTTGGGGCGATTTTGGGGGGATTTGGGGCAATTTTGGGGGGATTTGGGGCAATTTTGGGGGTCCCTGCCCTGGTTTTGGGGGGTTTTGGAGACTGGTTTGGGGGTCCCTGTGTTAATTTGGGGGAATTTGGGGGGAGTTTGGGGGTCCCTGCCCTGGTTTTGGGGGGATTTGGGGCAGTTTGGGGCAGTTTGGGGGTGCCTGTCCTGGTTTTGGGGGGTTTTGGGGACTGGTTTGGGGGTGCCTGCCCTGGTTTTTGGGGAAATTGGGGCAATTTTGGGGGTCCCTGCCCTGGTTTTGGGTGGTTTTGGGGTCCCTGTGTTAATTTGGGGGGAGTTTGGGGGTCCCTGTCCTGGTTTTGGGGGGGTTTTGGGGTCTGGTTTTCGGGGGTTTTGGGGTCCCTGTGCCGATTTTGGGGGGTTTTGGGGGCAGTTCGGGGATCCCTGCCCTGGTTTTGGGTGGTTTTGGGTCCCTGTGTTAATTTGGGGGAATTTGGGGCAAATTTGGGGGTCCCTGTCCTGGTTTTGGGGGGTTTGGGGGTCCCTGTGCCGATTTTGGGGGGTTTTTGGGGTCCTTGTCCTGGTTTTGGGGGAATTTTGGGGGTCCCTGTCCTGATTTTGGGGGGTTTTGGGGTCCCTGTGTTAATTTGGGGGGTTTTGGGGGCAGTTTGGGGGTCCCTGCCCTGGTTTTGGGGGAATTTGGGGTCTGGTTTTTGGGGGTTTTGGGGTCGCTGTGCCAATTTTGGGTTTTTTTGGGGGGTTTTGGGGTCCCTGTGCCAATTTTGGGTTTTTTTGGGGGGTTTTGGGGTCCCTGTGCCAATTTTGGTTTTTTTGGGGGGTTTTTGGGGTCCCTGTGCCAATTTTGGGTTTTTTGGGGGGGTTTTGGGGATCCCTGTGCCAATTTTGGGTTTTTTTGGGGGTTTTGGGGTCCCTGTGCCAATTTTGGGTTTTTTTGGGGGTTTTGGGGTCCCTGTGCCAATTTTGGGATTTTTTGGGGTCCCTGTGCCAATTTTGGGGGTTTTGGGGGGGTTTTGGGGATCCCTGTGCCAATTTTGGGGTTTTTGGGGGGTTTTGGGGTCCCTGTGCCAATTTTGGGTTTTTTTGGGGGGTTTTTGGGGTCCCTGTGCCAATTTTGGGTTTTTTTTGGGGGTTTTGGGGTCCCTGTGCCAATTTTGGGGTTTTTTGGGGTCCCTGTGCCAATTTTGGGGTTTTTGGGGGAGTTTGGGGTTCGTGTCCCATTTTTGGCGTTTTTGGGGTCTCTGATCCGATTTTGGGGGTTGAGGGTCCTTGGACCCCAGTGAGTGACCGCTCGGACATTGAGTGACCCCTGAGTGACCGCTGACCCTGAGTGACCCCTGAGTGACCCCTGAGTGACCACTGAGTGACCGCTGACCCTGAGTGACCCCTGAGTGACCCTGAGTGACCCCTGAGTGACCGCTGACCCTGAGTGACCCCTGAGTGACCCCTGAGTGACCCCTGAGTGACCGCTGACCCTGAGTGACCCCTGAGTGACCCCTGAGTGACCCCTGAGTGACCGCTGACCCTGAGTGACCCCTGAGTGACCCCTGAGTGACCCCTGAGTGACCACTGAGTGACCCTGAGTGACCCCTGAGTGACCGCTGACCCTGAGTGACCCCTGAGTGACCCCTGAGTGACCCCTGAGTGACCACTGAGTGACCCCTGAGTGACCCCTGAGTGACCGCTGACCCTGAGTGACCCCTGAGTGACCCTGAGTGACCCCTGAGTGACCACTGAGTGACCGCTGACCCTGAGTGACCCTGAGTGACCCCTGAGTGACCCCTGAGTGACCCCTGAGTGACCCCTGAGTGACCACTGAGTGACCCCTGAGTGACCCTGAGTGACCCCTGAGTGACCACTGAGTGACCCCTGAGTGACCCCTGAGTGACCCCTGAGTGACCCTGAGTGACCAATGAGTGACCCCTGAGTGACCCCTGAGTGACCAATGAGTGACCAATGAGTGACCCCTGAGTGACCGCTGACCCTGAGTGCCGCTCAGACTCTGAGTGACCGCTCACCCCAAATGACTGGTCAGACCCTGAGTGACCAGTTTACCCTGAGTGACCACTCAGACCCCGAGTGACCACTGACCATTGACTGACCATTAACCACTGACCATTAACCTTTCCCATACAAGAACCGCCCTGGCCTGAGCTGTCACTACAGCCACACCCACCTGGCCTGACTGACCCTGAGTGACCACTGACCATTGAGTGACCACTGACCACTGACCATTAACCCTTTGTTCCCCAGTCTGCGGGAAGCGCTACAAGAACCGCCCGGGGCTGAGTTACCATTACAGCCACACCCACCTGGCCTGAGTGACCCTGAGTGACCCTGAGTGACCACTGACCATTGAGTGACCACTGACCATTTCCCATTAACCCTTTGTTCCCCAGTCTGCGGGAAGCGCTACAAGAACCGCCCGGGGCTGAGCTACCATTACAGCCACACCCACCTGGCCTGAGTGACCCTGAGTGACCCTGAGTGACCCTGAGTGACCCTGAGTGACCACTGACCATTTCCCATTAACCCTTTGTTCCCCAGTCTGCGGGAAGCGCTACAAGAACCGCCCGGGGCTGAGTTACCATTACAGCCACACCCACCTGGCCTGAGTGACCCTGAGTGACCCTGAGTGACCCTGAGTGACCCTGAGTGACCACTGACCATTGACTGACCACTGACCATTTCCCATTAACCCTTTGTTCCCCAGTCTGCGGGAAGCGCTACAAGAACCGCCCGGGGCTGAGCTACCATTACAGCCACACCCACCTGGCCTGAGTGACCCTGAGTGACCCTGAGTGACCCTGAGTGACCCTGAGTGACCACTGACCATTTCCCATTAACCCTTTGTTCCCCAGTCTGCGGGAAGCGCTACAAGAACCGCCCGGGGCTGAGCTACCATTACAGCCACACCCACCTGGCCGAGGAGGAGGGGGAGGAGCCGGGGGGGGGCGCGGGGCCCCCCCGCAGGAACCACCACCGGCGTGAGGGGGGAGGGGCAGCCATGGGGGGGGGGTGGGGAGGGGGCTGGGGGGGGGTTGAGGGGGACTCTGGGCTGGTTTGGGGGGGGTTTGGGGGGGATTTGGGGGGGCTTGGGGGGGTTTGGGGAGGGGTCTGGGGGGTTTGAGGGGGCTTGGGGGGGTTTGGGGAGGGGTCTGGGGGAGTTTGAGGGCGATTTGGGGGAGTTTGAGGGGGTTTTGGGGGGATTTGAGGGGGTTTGGGGCATTTGAGGGGGTTTGGGGCATTTGAGGGGGTTTTGGGGGGATTTGAGGGGGTTTTGGGGGGATTTGAGGGGGTTTTGGGGGATTTGAGGGGGTTTGGGGAGTTTAGGGAGGGATTTGGCTGAGGGGTCTGGGGGGATTTGAGGGGGATTTGGGGGGGTTTGAGGGGGTTTAGGGGGGATTTGAGGGGGTTTGGGGGGATTTCAGGGGGGTTTGGGGGGATTTCAGGGGGGTTTTGGGGGATTTGAGGGGGTTTTGGGGGATTTGAGGGGGTTTAGGGGGGGTTTGAGGGGGTTTAGGGGGGTTTGAGGGGGTTTTGGGAGGATTTCAGGGGGGTTTGGGGGATTTGAGGGGGTTTTGGGGGTATTTGAGGGGGTTTGGGGGGGTTTGAGGGGGATTTGGGGGAGTTTGAGGGGGGTCTGGGGGTTTTGAGAGGGTCTGGGGGGGTTTTGAGGGGGATTTGGGGGTTCGGTGCCGTTTTTGGGGGTCTCTGGTTTGGTTTTGGGGGCATTTGGGGGGATCTGGGGTGGGTTTGGGGGGGTTTGGGGGGTCTCTGATGGTTTTTGGGGGGGGTTTGGGCTGGTTGTGAGGGGGATTTGGGGGGATTTTGGGGGGCATTTGGGAGGTTTGGGGTGGGTTTGGGGGATTTTGGGGGGCTTTGGGAGGGTCTCTCTGGGTTTTGGGGGGATTTTGGGGGGTTTGGGGGGGTCTGTGCCAGTTTTGGGGGGATTTTGAGGGGATTTTGGGGGGCTTTGGGAGGGTCTGTGCCGGTTTTGGGGGGATTTTGGGGGGCTTTGGGAGGGTCTCTCTGGGTTTGGGGGGATTTTGGGGTATCTGAGCTGATTTTGAGGGGGTTTTGGGTTTTTTTGGGTTTTTTATGGGGTTTTTTTGGGGGGTCTTCACCCCCTTTTTGTGCCTTTTCTCCCCTCCCCCGCCCAGAGTTTTACAAAGAGTTGAACTGGGCCCCCGAAAACCAGCGCAGGAACACAGGTACCCCAAAATCCCCCACATTCACCCCAAAATCACCCAAATTCACCCCAGAATGCCCAAATTCACCCCAAAATCCCCCACATTCACCCCAAAATACCCAAATTCACCCCAAAATCCCCCACATTCACCCCAAAATCACCCACATTCACCCCAAAATACCCAAATTCACCCCAAAATCCCCCACATTCACCCCAAAATCACCCACATTCACCCCAAAATCCCCCAAATTCACCCCAAAATCCCCCACATTCACCCCAAAATCACCAAATACACCCCAAATCCTCCAAATTCACCCCAAAATCCCCCACATTCACCCCAAAATCCCCCAAATTCACCCCAAAATCCCCCAAATTCACCCCAAAATGCCCCAAATTCACCCCAAAATGCCCCCAAAATCCCCCAAATCCTCCAAATTCACCCCAAATCCTCCAAATTCACCCCAAAATCCCCAAATACACCCCAAAATCACCCAAATTCACCCCAAAATCCCCCACATTCACCCCAAAATCACCCCAAAATCTCCCACATTCACCCCAAAATCCCCCACATTCACCCCAAAATGCCCCAAATAACACCCCAAAATCCCTGAACATAGCCCCAAAATATCCAAATACACCCCAAAATACCCCAAATTCACCCCAGAATGCCCCAAATTCACCCCAAAATGCCCCAAATACACCCCAAATCCTCCAAATTCACCCCAAAATATCCAAATTCACCCCAAAATCACCCAAATTCACCCCAAAATCTCCCACATTCACCCCAAAATGCCCCAAATTCACCCCAAAATGCCCCAAATAACACCCCAAAATCCCTGAACATAGCCCCAAAATATCCAAATACACCCCAAAATACCCCAAATTCACCCTAGAATGCCCCAAATACACCCCAAAATCCACCAAATTCAGTCCAAAATGCCCCCAAAATCCCCCAAATTCACCCCAAAATCCCCAAATTCACCCCAAATCCTCCAAATTCACCCCAAAATATCCAAATACACCCCAAAATCCCCCAAATTCAGCCCAAAATGCCCCAAATACACCCTAAAATCCCTGAAAATCACCCCAAAATATCCAAATACACCCCAAAAGCCCTGGAAATAACCCCAAAATACCCCAAATTCCCCCCAAAATCCCCCAAATACACCCCAAATCCTCCAAATTCACCCCAAAATCCCCCAAATTCACCCCAAAATACCCAAATACCCCCCAAAATACCCCAAATTCACTCCAAAGTGCCCCAAATACACCCCAAACCCTCCAAATTCACCCCAAAATACCCCAAAATCCCCGATATTTGCCCAAAAATCCCCCCAAAATCCTCCCAAATCACCCCAAAATTCACTCCAAAGTGCCCCAAATTCACCCCAAAATAGCCCAAAGCTCCCCAGTCACCCCAAAATCCCTCAAACTGAACCCAAAATCCCCAAATTCACCCCAAAATTTCCCCAAAATCCCTGAAATTCACCCCAAAATCCCCCAAATTTCCTCCAAAATCCCCCGAAATTCACCCAAATCCACCCCAAATTCCCCCAAAATCTCCCAAATCACCCAAATTCACCCCCAAAATCCCCAAATCCCACAAAAATCTCCCAAAATCTCCCAAACTCACCCCAAAATCCCCTAAATTCACCCCAAAATCCCACAAATTCACCCCAATTTCCCCCAAAATCCCCCAAAATTCACCCCAAAATCCCCAATATTTGCCCAAATATGCCCCCAAATTCACCCCAAATCACCCCAAAATCCCCCAAATTAACCACAAATTCCTCAAATTTCCCCCGAAATCCCCCAAATTCACCCCAAAATCCCCCAAATTTACCCCAAATTTACCCCAAATTTACCCCAAATTTACCCCAAAATCCCCCAAATCCACCCCAAAATCCTCCAAATCCACCCCAAAATCCCCCAAATTCACCCCAAAATCCCCCAAATTCACTCCAAATTCACTCCAAATTCACCCCAAAATCCCCCAAATTCACCCCAAAATCCCCTGAAATCTCCTGGGTTTAAATTTGGGTTTGGGATTTTTGGGGATTTTTTTGGGGTCCCCCCCCCACATTTTGGGGGTGTCTGGGGGGGTTTTTTGGGGGGAGCTCAGGAGATTTTGGGTTTTTTTGGAGGTTTTTGGGAGAATTTTTTGGGGTTTTTTTTGGTGATTTTTTGGGGGTTTTTTTTTGTGGGGTTTTTTTGGTCATTTTTGGGGTATTTTGAGGGGTTTTTTTGCTCATTTTTGGGGGTTTTTGTCGGGTTTTTTGTTCATTTTTGGGTTTTTTTGTGGGGTTTTTTTGTTCAGTTTTGGGGTCTTTTTGTGGGTTTTTTTTGTTCATTTTTTTGTTCGTTTTTGGGGTTTTTGGTGGGTTTTTTTTGTTCATTTTTCGTGCGTTTTTGGTGATTTCATTTGGGTTTTTTTGGTGATTTTTGGGGTTTTTTTGTGGGATTTATTTGTTCATTTTTGGGGTTTTTTGTGGGTTTTTTTGTTCATTTTTCGTGCGTTTTTGGTGATTTCATTTGGGTTTTTTTGGTGATTTTTGGGGTTTTTTTGTGGGATTTATTTGTTCATTTTTGGGGTTTTTGGTGGGGTTTTTTTGTTCATTTTTCGTGCGTTTTTGGTGATTTCATTTGGAGTTTTTGGGGATTTTTTTTGGTTTTTTTGTGGGATTTATTTGTTCATTTTTGGGGTTTTTGGTGGGGTTTTTTTTGTTCATTTTTCGTGCGTTTTTGGTGATTTCATTTGGGTTTTTTTGGGATTTTTTTGGGGATTTTTTGGGGACGTTTTGGGGATTTTTTTTGGGGTCCCCCCCCACATTTTGGGGGTGTCTGGGGGGGTTTTTTGGGGGGAGCTCAGGAGATTTTGGGGGGTTTTTTTGGAGGTTTTTGGGAGAATTTTTTGGGGGTTTTTTTTGGTGATTTTATGGGGTTTTTTTTGGGGTTTTTTTTGTTCATTTTTGGGGTTTTTTTGTGGGGTTTATTTCTTCATTTTTGGGGTTTTTTGTGGGTTTTTTGTTCATTTTTGGGGTTTTTTTTGTGGGTTTTTTGTTCATTTTTGGGGTTTTTTTTTTTGGTGATTTGTTTGTTTTTGGGGATTTTTTTGGGTTTTTTTTGCGGGATTTTTTCAGGACTTTTTTCGGGGTCCCCCCCCCCCCCCCAACATTCGGGGGTCCCCTCTCACCCCTCCCCCCTCCCCCCCCCCATTCCAGGCCGCCCCGCCCCCCCCGGGGCCCCCCCCCGAGGGTCCGTGCGATTTCTGCGCCGGCGGGAATCGAACCCGCGGCGGCGACGAGCAGCTGATCACGTGTGCGGATTGCGGGAGGGCAGGTGGGACAGACGGGGACACTGGGGACACTGGGGACACTGGGGACACTGGGGACTGAATGGGGGCATTGGGGGCATTGGGGACATTGGGGACACTGGGGACACTGGGGACACTGGGGACACTGGGGACTGAATGGGGGCATTGGGGACATTGGGGACATTGGGGACACTGGGGACAGGGGGGACACTGGGGACATTGGGGACACTGGGGACACTGGGGACACTGGGGACACTGGGGACTGAATGGGGGCATTGGGGGCATTGGGGACACTGGGGACACTGGGGACACTGGGGACACTGGGGACAGGGGGGACATTGGGGACACTGGGGACACTGGGGACACTGGGGACAGGGGGGACAGGGGGGACATTGGGGACACTGGGGACAGGGGGGACACTGGGGACAGGGGGGACACTGGGGACACTGGGGACATTGGGGACATTGGGGACATTGGGGACACTGGGGACACTGGGGACACTGGGGACACTGGGGACACTGGGGACAGGGGGGACAGGGGGGACATTGGGGACACTGGGGACAGGGGGGACACTGGGGACAGGGGGGACACTGGGGACACTGGGGACATTGGGGACATTGGGGACATTGGGGACACTGGGGACACTGGGGACACTGGGGACAGGGGGGACATTGGGGACAGAATGGGGGCATTCGGGACATTGGGGACATTGGGGGCATTGGGGACAGGGGGGACATTGGGGATATTGGGGACAGAATGGGGACACTGGGGACATTGGGGACAGAAATGGGGACAGGGGGGACATTGGGGACATTGGGGACAGGGGGGACATTGGGGACATCGGGGATAGGGGGGACATTGGGGACATTGGGGACATTGGGGGGACATTGGGGACAGAATGGGGACATTGGGGACATTGGGGACATTGGGGACAGAATGGGGACGGGGGGGACACTGGGGACATTGGGGGGACATTGGGGACTGAATGGGGACATTGGGGACAGGGGGGACATTGGGGACAGGAATGGGGACATTGGGGACAGAATGGGGACAGGAATGGGGACAGGAATGGGGACATTGGGGGCATTGGGGACAGAAATGGGGACAGGGGGGACATTGGGGACATTGGGGACAGAAATGGAGACAGCAATGGGGACAGGAATGGGGGCATTGGGGGGATTGGGGACATTGGGGACATCATCAGAGATTGGGGACAGTGGGGACATTGGGGACATTGGGGGGATTGGGGACATTGGGGGGATTGGGGACATTGGGGGGATTGGGGGGCAATGGGGACATTGGGGACATTGTGGGGACACTGGGGGGACATTGGGGACATTGGGGGGACATTGGGGACAGTGGGGGGACATTGGGGACAGAAATGGGGACAGTGGGGACATTGGGGGGACATTGGGGACATTGTGGGGACATTGGGGACATTGGGGGGACACTGGGGGGACATTGGGGACATTGGGGGGACATTGGGGACAGTGGGGACCTTGGGGGGACATTGGGGACATTGGGGACATTGGGGACAGAAATGGGGACATTGGGGACATTGGGGGGACATTGGGGACAGTGGGGACATTGTGGGGACATTGGGGACATTGTGGGGACATTGTGGGGACATTGTGGGGACATTGGGGACATTGGGGGGACATTGGGGACACTGGGGGGACATTGGGGACATTGGGGGGACAGTGGGGACATCAGTGGGGACAGTGGGGACCTTGGGGGGACATTGGGGACAGGGGGGGGACATTGGGGACAGAAATGGGGACAGTGGGGACATTGGGGGGACAGTGGGGACAGTGGGGACCTTGGGGGGGCCCAGCCGGATTTGGGGTTCTGGGGTCGGAATTTTGGGGTTCAAGTCGGAATTTCGGGGCTGTTTAAGGTGCAGAAGTTTTGGGGATTTTTGAGGCGCTTTTGGGGCATTTTTGGGGGGATTTTGGGGCTGGTTTTGGGGTGATTTTGGGGTTTTTAAGGTGTGGAGTTTTGGGGTTTTTAGGGCATTTTTGAGGTAATTTTGGGGTCATTTTGGGGTTTTTAAGGTGAAAAGTTCTTGGGGTTTTTAGGGTATTTTTTAGGTAATTTTGGGGTTATTTGGGGGTTTTTAAGGTGTGGAATTTTTGCGGTTTTTAGGGCATTTTTAAGGTGATTTTTGAAGTAATTTTGGGGTTTTTAAGGTGTGAAGTTTTTGGGGTTTTTAGGGTATTTTTGAGGTAATTTTGGGGTAATTTTGGGATGGGTTTTGGGGTAATTTTGGGGAATTTTTGGGGTAATTTTGGGGCTGGTTTTGGGTTTTTAAGGCGTGGGTTTCTGAGGTTTTGGGGCTGGTTTTGGGGTGATTTTGGGGTTTTTAAGGTGTGGAGTTTTGGGGTTTTTAGGGTATTTTTGGGGTAATTTTGGGGTATTTTGGGGTGTGGATTTTTGCAGTTTTTTGGTGCATTTTTGGGGGTATTTTTGGGGTATTTAGCTGTAATTTTTGGGGCAGGTTTGGCAGGTTTGGGATTTTTTGGGGTTTTTTTAGGGGTAATTTTGCAGCTGATTTTGGGGTTTTTAAGGTGTGGAGTTCTTGGGGTTTTTAGGGGATTTTTGGGGTAATTTTGGGGTAATTTTGGGGTTTTTAAGGTGTGGAGTTTTGGGGTTTTTAGGGCATTTTTAAGGTAATTTTGTGTTGGCTTTGGGATGGGTTTTGGGGTAATTTTGGGGCATTTTTGGGGTAATTTTGGGGCTGGTTTTGGGTTTTTAAGGTGTGGATTTCTGAGGTTTTGGGGCTGGTTTTGGGGTGATTTTGGGGTTTTTAAGGTGTGGAGTTTTGGGGTTTTTAGGGTATTTTTGAGGTGATTTTGGGGCTGGTTTTGGGGTAATTTTGGGGTTTTTAAGGTGTGGAGTTTTGGGGTTTTTAGGGTATTTTTGGGGTAATTTTGGGGTATTTTGGGGTGTGGATTTTTGCATTTTTTTGGTGCATTTTTGGGGGTATTTTTGGGGTATTTAGGTGTAATTTTTGGGGCAGGTTTGGGATTTTTTGGGGTTATTTTTGGGGTAATTTTGCAGCTGATTTTGGGGTAATTTTGGGGTTTTTAAGGTGTGGAGTTCTTGGGGGTTTTAGGGCATTTTTGAGGTAATTTTGGGGTGATTTTGGGGTATTTGGGGCATTTTTGGGGGGATTTTGGGGCTGGTTTGGGGGTTTTTAAGGTGTGGATTTCTGAGGTTTTGGGGTGATTTTGGGGTTTTTAAGGTGTAGAGTTTTGGGGTTTTTAGGGTATTTTTGGGGTAATTTTGGGGTATTTTGGGGGGTGGATTTTTGCAGTTTTTTGGTGCATTTTTGGGAGTAATTTTGGGGTATTTAGGTGTAATTTTTGGGGCAGGTTGGGGTTTTTTGGGGTTTTTTTAGGGGTAATTTTGCAGCTGATTTTGGGGGTTTTTAAGGTGTGGAGTTCTTGGGGTCTTTAGGGGATTTTTGGGGCTGGTTTTGGGGTGATTTTGGGGTTTTTAAGGTGTGAAGTTTTTGGGGTTTTTAGGGTATTTTTGAGGTAATTTTGGGGTAATTTTGGGATGGGTTTTGGGGTATTTTGGGGCATTTTTGGGGGGATTTTGGGGCTGGTTTTGGGGTTTTTAAGGCGTGCATTTCTGAAGGTTTTGGGGCTGGGTTTTGGGGTGATTTTGGGGTGCTTTGGGGTTGATTTTGGGGTTTTCTGGCCCAGGACACCCCTCGTGCCTGCAGTTCTCGCTGGCCATGGCGGCGGCGGCGCGCTCGTACCGCTGGCAATGCATCGAGTGCAAATCCTGCAGCCTCTGCGGCACCGCCGAGAACGACGTGAGGGACCCCCAAAACCCCCAAATCCGCCCCAAAATCCACCCCAAGATCCACTCAAATGCTGCCTAAAATCTTCCCCAAAATCTACCTCAAATCCACCCCAAAATCCCCCAAAATCTGCCCCAAAATCCACCTCGAATCTGTCCCAAATCCACCCTAAAATCCAGCCCAAAATACCCCCAAAATCCACCTAAAATTCCACCCCAAAGTCCCCCAAAATCTGCCTCAAAATCCACCCCAAAATCCAACCCAAAATACCCCAAAATCCACCTCAAATCCACCCCAAAGTCCTCCAAATCTGCCCCAAAATCCCCCAAAATCTGCCCCAAAATCCACCCCAAAGTCCTCCAAATCTGCCCCAAAATCCCCCAAAATCTGCCCCAAATAG